TTGTCGCCCGCCATAGCGTCATGGAGGGATTGCCCAAGCGTACCAAAATAAGCATTCGTCCCGTGACCGGTATTAAACGCATGCTGCCGGTGATCTAACATACTGTGACGTACTACTATCGGAACCCTACCGGCGCCGGTGGTGTAGTGGTAAACGTGACTGCTTTCTAACACCCCGATGGGTCTGGGTTCAATGCCAGCCGAGGTCGGTGGGATTTTTCTGAGGTATAAAAATCTCTGGTCACGTCTTCATTCGGAAGGGAAGTAAAGCCGTTGGTCCCGGCCCATATGTGTGTTGAATGGTTGCGATGTCCTACGCAGGTGTGGAAACTGCCTTCCTGCACATTCGATTGCCGTCAATGGATGGCAATCGATGTCCGTCGCTGATTGGCACTAGATTGCGGAACAGAGACCGACGTTAAATAAAGCAACAAAAAAACCCTTGGAACCCAGCTCTGCTGAAATTTTTTTTACTTCATCGTATTTCCCCAACACTAACGCCAGTACTTTATCGGGAACATCAGGTGGCAGGTCATACACTCGCACATATTGTATTTATTCCTCCGCCATTTAACATGCATTATGCCGCACTGAATGGATCATCATTTCTTCAGACTTAAATTTGATAAACAGGGATTTCTCCTTAGTTATCTTGTATATAGCTTCCTTCTAGCAGAATCCGTAGCGGAATTAACAATTCCGCTCAACGACGGTTTTCCAGCACCATTCCCAAAGCTGAATTTGATAGTACACTTGAACCTCCATTTACGATCCAAAACGGGGGTTCGTAAATCGAATTAGTGCGTAAAAAAAAACCTCGTTATTTGGGATTTACTTCGTAAAAAGAAAACTCGTTATTTGGGATTTACTTCGTAAAAAGAAAACTCGTTATTTGGGATTTACTTCGTAAAAAGAGGTTTTTGAAAATATTGTCAAATACCCCACAATATGGGTATTTTTGGAATCGGAGTGACGTTTAGGGACCGGATATCGATGTCTGACGCCATTTTGAAATCCAAGATGGCGGTTTCCGGTTACAGAAAAACTTCGAAATTCTGTAAAACTTGGACATTCTGCCATATACAACACGAAATGGGTGTTTTTGGAATCGGAGTGACGTTAAGGGACTGAAAATCGATGTCTGACCCCATTTTTAAATCCAAGATGGCGACTTCCGGTTACAGAAAAACTTGGAAATTCTGCCAAATACCCCACAATATGGGTATTTTTAGAATCAGGGTGATGTGCAGGGACCAGAAATCGATATCTGACGCCATTTTGAAATCCAAGATGGCGACTTCCGGTTTCAGAAAAACTTCGAAATTCTGTAAAATATCCCACAATATGGATATTTTTGAAATCGGAGTGACGTATAGGGAACGGAAATCGATATCTGACGCCATTTTGAAATCCAAGATGGCGACTTCCGGTTTCAGAAAAACTTCGAAATTCTGTCAAATAGCCCACAATATGGGTATTTTTGGAATCGGGGTGACGTATAAGGAACGGAAATCAATTTCTGACGCCATTTTGAAATCCAAAATAGCGGCTATTCCAAAATACCCATTTTGTGAGGTATTTGGCAGAATTTCCAAGTTTTTATGTAACCGGAAGTCGCCATATTGGATTTCAAAATGGAGTCAGACATTGATTTCCGTTCCTTATACGTCACTCCGATTCCAAAAATACCCATATTGTGGGCTATTTGACAGAATTTCGAAGTTTTTCTGTAACCGGAAGTCGCCATCTTGGATTTCAAAATGGCGTCAGATATCGATTTCCGTTCCCTATACGTCACTCCGATTCCAAAAATACCCATATTGTGGGATATTTTACAGAATTTCGAAGTTTTTCTGAAACCGGAAGTCGCCATCTTAGATTTCAAAATGGCGTCAGATATCGATTTCTGGTCCCTATACGTCACTCCGATTCCAAAAATACCCATATTGTGGGATATTTTACAGAATTTCGAAGTTTTTCTGAAACCGGAAGTCGCCATATTGGATTTCAAAATGGCGTCAGATATCGATTTCCGTTCCCTATACGTCACTCCAATTCCAAAAATACCCATTTTGTGTTGTATATGGCAGAATGTCCAAGTTTTTCTGTAACCGGAAGCCGCCATATTGGATTTCAAGATTTCCAGTTCCTACACGTCACCTTGATTCCAAAAATACCCATATTGTGGGTATTGAAAGTATCTTCCAGTTTTTCATGAACCGGATGCCGCCATCTTGGATTTCAAAATGGCGTCAGACATGGGTTTCCGGTTCCTACATCTCACCCCGATTCCAAAGATACCCATATTGTGGGATATTTCATAGTTTTTCCCAGATTCCCATAATCGCAAAAAAAAACTCGTTATTTGGAATTTACTTCGTAAAAAGAAAACTCGTTATTTGGGATTTACTTCGTAAAAAAAAACCTCGTTATTTGGGATTTACTTCGTAAAACGAAACCTCGTAAAAAGAGGGACGTAAATTGAATACTGCGTAAAAAAGACTTCGTAAACGGACGTTTCAGTGTATTCTAAACTTCAAAGCCGCCAGCAGCAAACACACGATCAAGTTGTGGGTAAGGACGCACATGCAAGCGAACTTATCATTCTGGTGAGGATTATTTTGAGTATCAAATGCAAACAGATTATTTTCATTTCACACAAATATAACGTTGTAGAACGTTTTGTGTAGATTTTCACACTCAGATCAATGGAAAACTATTTCTTCATGCAGAGTTGATAATAGTATCGAGGTTTTAAGCTCTGGGATCGGCAATATCCAAAATAATCATTTTACCCGAAATTATATGATTTTTTTGCTTTTGAGGATTGCTGCCCATTTTGACAATATTGGGTTGGAAAATCCAGCGCTCATGAACCTCAACAAACCCGTATTTGTTGATAGAGAATGAGCTCATTTGTTCATTTCACTCGTACGTGACAACGAACATTTGCAATTTTGAGTTGAAGTGCTACCCTAATAATAATTTTGAATAGTTATTTTGCTTAACGACTTTTTTTAGTATCATTCAAACTATTTGTGGAATTGTTCTATCATTTGGGTTATCATTCGTTTGGTATTTTTGTTAGGGTAGCCATTGCGTGTGATGGTAAATGATTAAAACAGACACTGGTGTTGCATGAATTGGGGCCTCCCTTAGCTCAGTCGGTAAAGGCGCAGCTATAAAGCAAGACCATGCTGGAGGTGGCTGGGTTCGATTCCCGGTCCGGTCTAGGAATTTTTCGAGTTGGACATTTTCTCGACTTCCCTGGGAAAAGATTATGATTATAGGGTAGGGAACTACTTCGGCCTAATCGCTCATTTTGGGCCTATCGAGCAGAAAACTTCAAATAAATCCATGATTTCAGAGTTAACAAGTCAATTATGCATTTGGTACGATACTTTAAATAATAAGCTTCCGAACGAAGTCAATGAGAACGCGTGATATGAATGTTTGCACCCATTATTCCCGAACATAAAAGAAGCGCTCCGACCGAATCAATTTATATCTTCCTCCGATAGGCCGAGTGAATTCATTGGCGTTTCAATGGCGTTTCAATCTGTTAGGCCGAGTTTAGAATCCGTAGGCCGAGCTTAGAATCCGTAGGTCGAGTTTGGCGTTAAGAAGCAGTGTTAGACTTTTGACAATATCTCAACGATTGGTTTATTTTTAAAATTTTTTGGTACGTACGGAAAGGTAAATAATTTTGGAAGCCATCAGTAATAATAACATTCCGTTTGGTGCTAAATTGCGCTAGATTAAGAAAGCCTAAGTGCGGGTTGTGCTTAATAGGACGAAAACCCTACTTGCCACACAATTATACCAATGCAAAAATTGTACAGGCATTGAAAGCTCTCAATTAATAACTGTGGAACTGCATCCAGAAAACTAAGTTGAGAGCACGCAATAAGCTAATATGCGATATGCAATAAGCTTGAAATTCGAAGAAGAATAAGAAGATTATATAAGGAGGAGGAGGTGTTGCATGATTCTTCTAGATTGCTCTCAAGGGGGGCCTCAATAATTTAAATAATAATATAAAATGTCTTATAAACTACTGAGGCCCCCCTGGAGAGCAATCTATATGCATCATGCAACACATTAAACCATATTATTCCACCAAGAACTTCATGTAATGCCGAATTAATCTTACTTATTTTTTCCAGAATGAAGACCAATTTAGTTGTAAACTGAACAAGTAAGAAGGGTCAGCTCTCATCATAGGTGGATATATTCAGTTTTTTTGTTCCTGCGCCAAGGGTCATTCTATTCTCTCTTACCTATACTGCTTCATGTGTTTGTTTGGGAAATATGCTGGTGCTGTCAACGCTTGGCCAGGCTTTGGACCGGCTAGGGATTTGTTTTACTAAGGAACATTCATTTGTGTGCGTCTATCGCCACCCACCACTGAACGTTGGAGGCCGTGTAATTTGGAATGCCAATTTGTGGATTGTTTGATAAAGGAGCAGCAATTTTTGGTGAATGAAATTTGTGAACTAGGTAAATGGTGTTTTCCTCGATATCTTAAGTGGATCGAATTGAATTTTGATTTACAACTACAATTGCGTACTCCTACTCCCGTCTAACGAAAGCTTCCACTTAACAGCTGTGGAAGTGTTCGATGAACACGAAGTTCGGGGCAGGCGTAAATTCCCAGATGTTACGAAGTAGCCAAAGAAGGAAAATATCGTCGCAATTCCCTTTTTGGAATTGAACATTAACCTTCACTCTTTCATACGCTCTATCTGTATGCAAGCAAAGGCTATTTTTGCCAGCTTAAGGTGAAAGTTGATAGAACCCACAAATGGAACTATTTTGGTTATTTGACCTTGCCACATCGAACTATTGATGGCATGAAACTCAGAAACTAGATTCTGAGATTCGTGCCATCAAAAATTCGAAGTGTTCAGTCAAAATTACCAAAATATCAGCCATTTGTGGATTCTTTCAACATTTCCCTTAAAGCACACTTTTAAAAGTCAAACCAACTTCCACACTCACCTCGGTTAGGATAATCAGTCCAAAGATAGCGAAGAATGCTATCACAATCAGGAAGCTCATGCCGGCCCGCTCCCGGGCACCCCAGGAGGTCTTCTTAGCGCGTTTGCTGCGAGATGACATGGAGCCCCCCGTTAGTTTCGATGGGGGGCTCCCACCGCCGTACATAATATGATTCTACCGATGGAGTGCAAAACTTCCCGCACTTGACGCGAGCCGACGGTGCCTGGGGTTGACAACTTAGCCCCACTGGGGGCTTGACTTGTGTTGCTGGTTCAACTTTGCCTCGATTGAATTGTGTGTAGGCGGATGGGCGGATGCTTTCTCCGGAAACTCTCGGGTAAGTTTATTGCTATGTGCACGTGTCTATGCTCCTCTTGGTTGTATCTTCTGGATCCTCTTATCGTTGAAGAGTGTCGCTGTTAATGGTTTTCCGTGCCGGTACCGAAGACGATGACAGCAGTGGCGGTTGCATTTCGATGTGACTTAGTCCTGTTGATGGCGAAAAAAGACAACAGAAAAGGTAGGATATTAATCATTTGTATAAAGTATTGGCGAACTGAATGGAACTTGCACAAGCTAAGCATCGCTTTCGTGCTATTTATGGCTAAATCGATAATTAATTACTGCACGTCAACATCTGCTGCTTTGATAGACGGTGAATGAGAAAACCAAGGACCGGTTGCTAGGATTGAATTAATTGCTGTTGTCGTTGATTTGGTTCATTCAGTATTCAGTTTTGGTTATTCTGGATTAGCGAATTAGCAAACCTTCCGGTCATAATTCTTGAGCGTGCAACAACAACCAGCTTACAGATACATATTTATCTATACAGGTATCTATAGGATTTACCTAAATTGGTTTTAACTCTTCTAATCCCAAACCAAAATCACAATAATCCTGGCTTTTGAAGTATATTTACCAATGAGCAATTCCCTACGAATTCGCAAATCGGTTTATTTTTGTATTTTTTATTAGGTTGAAAATTTAGCAGAAACGTTCCTTATGACTGACTATGCCATTTTGCATCTTCATATCGCCAATTTGAATCCAGCCTTATTTTTGAAAAGGGCCTATAGAAAAATATCAAGCTTATCTTCAGAAAATTTTTACTCGAAAACTGTTGACCCGAATCGGTTTGGTGTCTTGCGCAATATTGCAAATAATGGATGAGACTATTTGAACAAAATATTCACTCAAAAAAAATACCCGATTTTTTTTTATTTCAAATAAATTTTGAAAACAATTTTTCTCAAAAATTGGTTCTCTGTTTTTTTTTTTATTTGTTGATATGTTTTGAGGGACAAAAAAATCCATCTATTGCACTACAGTTCAAGATGGAGAAATGATGGACAAAAAAGTTATGATTTAAAAAAAAATATCCCAAACCTAGTCCAATTACTTTTTCGACTTCATATAATAGAAGTACACCTAATTTACAATAAAAAACACTCCTTTAATTTTTTTTCTAAGTCACTCCGTTCTCGAGATGTAGCGGTTTGAAAGTATATATTTTTGAAATGTTGGTAGTTTTTGGCCATTTTAAATGTATTTCGCGGCCACCAAGAGAATTTTCATGGTAAAATTTTCTGAATTTTCAGAAAAAAATATTGTTGGAACTGCACACTTAGAAATAACTAATTTTACACGTGACGGAATCCATCTTTGACATAAAGTTTGAGACGTAAACACACATGTCATGTAAAACTAAGGGCTCTGAGACTGAAAAGTTCGATACTCAACAAAAATTATGTTTGATTGAATTGAATTACGCGTCTGTTATGACTCAATTTTATGTCAAAATTGACGCTCGTATATGTCAGTCTCAGAGCATCTAAATTTACATGGATTTTTCTAAGTGTGTGGATAACCGATCTTGTCTTGTATGTCTTCGAAGATCTTGTCTTGTATGCAGTTCCACTTAATAGCGAGATCAATTTAAGCTACCGATCTGAATTCACAATATGAAGGGCCAAAAACGGAGGGGTGGACCCGTAAGCAGAGAAACTTACGCGAAATTCACGGAAATTTAAGAATCTCCTTCCGTCGATCTTGTTTTCCGTACAGAGTACCAATGCTAGCGACGCCAGGGAGGCAGCTCCCACACCTGGACCCTACCTATCGACCCATCACAACTCATGAACCGGGGACCAACGGTTTTACTTCCCTTCCGAAGGATGCCTCAGAAAACCGGGCGTCACCGACTGGGATTAAACCCAAGCTTGCTGGGGTGATAGGTAATCACGCTTACCAGTACACCACCAGCGCCGCTATAATAAGCTTCCTACATGATGGTTTGTTAAGAAGGGCGCGTCAATCTCACTGTAACTGTTAGAGTAGAAATCACACCACCACAATCGAATCGGTAGAATAAATAAAATAATAGTGTGTATACCCTCTTAGACTCCGGTTGTCAAACCACTCCATCGTCCAATTCCAGGTCAAATGATACCCTGATCACTAGCGTGCACAGGAGGGGCATTTTTTTATATGGTGCATTTAATCTGGGGATGGGGGAGTACTCCAAAGTATGTGGTGGATGGTGCTGTCCACCTCCCACTATTTTCCTACTGTTCAATTTAGCTAATTTAATTATTTTTTGCTCCGGTGGTGGTTCATCCTCTTTAAGGCAAACTGCTTTCAGACAGCCAATGGAAATATGCAATTCAATCCCATCGACGATGTCGATGATGATCGGTTCGTCAAATGGTTGCGATATTAGGGCTTTAACCGAAATGATACACTTGCTGCAACGTTGTTGCCTTGGTGGTTGGGTTCAGCTGAAGTCACGTCAGATGGTGGTGATAGCACCGACAAACCGACATGAATGACCAATAAGAATCGCATTCTCCTTTCGCATGCACACTGCTTCGACAAGTACAAGGTTTAAACAGTGCGCATAGCAGTGAACATACAGTATATTGCTCTTGATCAATCAAATCTTGATCGGTGGTGTTGAGTACTTGGCACTGATGAAGTCTTCAAGAAGTAGATGAAATACGCGTATCTGTCAAAAGATAAGCAATTATAACGGAATGAAAATGAAATAAACCAACACACTCAAAGCTCTTCATAAAAGTATATGGTTGTATTTGTCCTTGCACTTGGCTTGTACTCCAGCAGTGCTGCCAGCCATTGTGCTGGCACTGTCAAAACATACTGCCATCACCTGCTCCCAAGAAATCTGCATCGCTGTCAGGACCTCAGCAATAGTATTGAAGATGGTCGTCGCGTCTGTTTTCAACACCCGTCTCACAACCACCGAATGTTTCCGTCGGTCAATTCGGCGTTATCAATATACGGGAAATGGATGTAATGTCGGTCTAAATGCCCCTAATTTGGGCCCATAGATAAATTCAGCAATCCATTAAATTTTCAATAGCGACCAAAAATATCCATTAGAACCGTCCCAATGACGCATTCATCTAGATAAAATTAATAAATAGCAGACTTATACCCACTTTTCAATTAGGGAATCCAAAAGCATCTTCAACCTTTGTACAGTTGCGAAAAAGTCCATCCTCAAAATACCTTGAGGTTCGTTTCGAAATTTTTAGAACTCTATGAGCTCTTTTGAAATTCTTCTCAGAATTCCACTGGAATTATTTTGACGTTTACTCAGAACACCTTGTAACTGAAATTCCCTTAGAGTTTCAGAATAATTTCCCGGAATGAGCTTGAAATTATCCTCGGAATTTGCTTTAAATTTTGCGTAAAATCCCTTTGGAATTTCACTCCAAATTTGATTTTCTCGGTATTCTTTTCGAAATTATCTTGGAACAATCTGCAGGATGCACTACAAATTAACTGCAGAATTTTCTTTGAATTCTACCCAGAAATATTTTAAAACTGTTAAAGAATTCAATATCCTTGAGGTTCTTCTCGGAATATTTTAGACCTTTTTTTTCTAAGAACACCTTGGAACAGAAATTCCTCTAACGTTTCAGAAGAATTTCCTCTGAATTCTCCAGAAATTCTTCCTAAAATGAGCTTGAAATTATCCTCGGAATTTCCTTGAAATTTTCCCCAACATACCTTTGTAATTTCATTCAAAATTCGATTCTCTCGGTATTCTTTTCGAAATTATCTTGGAACTATCTGCAAGAATCACCAGAAATCATTCGCAGAATTTTCATGCAATCATCCCCAGGAATATTTTCTTTTGGAACAATCCTCAGAATTCAATACCCTTGAGGTTCTTCTCGGAAGTCAAATTTAAGTTGTCCGTCCATCCACCAAAACGTTGTAGTTTTTCTACCAGAAATGTTCAATAAAGCTTGCCCCTCCATTCACCAGAACTGTGCAATTTTTACATAAGGAATTTTCAATTCAGCTTGACCCTCCATGCAGCAGATTGTTGCAAATTTTACACCAGAAATTTACAAAAATACAAATTTGTCCCCAGAAAATTTCATTTGACCAGAACGATGTAAATTTTCCATCGTTAATGTTTAATAAAAATTGCTTCTCCAATCTTCTGATTGGTGCAGATATCCTTTTTTTCATTTCCACCAGTAATTTTCAATATAGCTTGCTTCTCCTATCATCAGAATGTTGCAGGTTTTCCACCAAATAAAGCTTGCCCCTATTTTCAGATTATTCATCATAAATTTTCAGTAAAGCAGCTTCCCTTCAATCATCAGTGCAAATCAATGGTGCAAATTTAACACCAGAAATTATTATTAAAGTATATTTCTCTATTCAGCAGAAGGATGCAAATTTAAGACCAAAAATTTTCCGAAAAGCTTGCCCATCCGTTCATTGTTGTGATGCAGATTTTCCACCAGATATTTTCAATATAGCTTAATTTTAAATAAAGCTTGTGCCTTCATTTACCAGACCAGTGCAAGATTTCCACCAGAAATTTTCTGTTCATTTCATTTATCAGAGCGATGCAAATTTTGCAACAGAATTTTTCAATAAATCATGCTCCTCCATTCATCAGAACGGTGCACCAAAAATTGCCAGAGAAGTTTGTTTCACCATACACCTTTGTGGGTCAATTTTCAGGCTTTACCTTTTCATGCACCATAATGGTGCAAATTTTCCACCATAAATTTTCAATGAAGCTTACATTCATCAGAACGATGCAAATTATGCACCAGAAAAATGAATAAACCTTGCTTCTACATTCACATGTTGCGAACTTTCCACCAGAAATTTTCAGTTAAATGTACAGCTCCAGATTTTTAGCGTGATTCAAATAATTCATTACGATTAGTCATTCATTTTGATAAGTCCCTCCATGTTATTCACCCAAGTAACACATAAAACATCTTTTTATAAAATATTTAGAACGGCTTGTTATATAAATGTATTATAAGTGATGCAGAAAACATCCCACGTTATATATGAGGTTCATAGATGTTTTTTTTCATACTTCCTAGATTCAACATTTTCCAAAATAGTTTTCTTTTGCTTTTATCTTTAAATGTTATTTAAACGTGCATATTACTGTTTTAACACCACTATAAAACTTGTGGTATACAAAA